GTGACCTTTTTCTGCCAGATAATATGACATTCAGCTTTTTTTTCTCCATTGAACATCCATAGCATACTCCCTTAGGTGTTTCATATATTTTATTTAATATATATATATATATATATATATATATATGTGTGTGTGTGTGTGTGTGTGTTTGTTTGTGTGTGTTTGTGCGCGTGCACTCTGTGTGTGTGTTTTGGATACTTATCTACAATCGAATTAAAAGTCTATTTAGCCCTTTATTAATAAATATCTTTTCAGCTCAATTTAATACTATTAATAGGTATATATATATATATATATATATATATATATATATACGACGACTTTTTCAACTTTGTCTATTTTTCTAATATATATATGTGTGTGTGTGTATATATATATATATATATATATATATATATATATATGTTAATGTGTGTGTGTGTATTTGATATATATATATATATATATATATATATATATATATATATATATATATATATATATATATATAATTAATGTAATTAACATTTTTCACTTAGCTGTTTCACTGTTATCCTCGACATCTGTGTATCGTCGGAGAAACTTGTAATTATTCAGTTCTCTTTTCAGGAGATATCAACATCTGATTGGCGTTTTTCTTATTTTTTCGTTATTACTATTATTGTATTTACTGGAGTTACGTGTTACACACACACACACACACACAAATATATATATATATATATATATAAACAATAGACCAAATTTATACGTTTTATACATTTTGGGCTTTTATTAACTCCTAACTCATTCTCTTACTGAGATACCAAAGCTTTTTACCCCATAGAACATAGCATTCAATTTTGGGAACTTCTGTTAATTAAATATTGCCCGCCCTAACAACAAAAACAACAATAATAATAATAATAATAATAATAATAATAATAATATAATAATAAATTTAAATACATTTTATAACATTACTGCATAAATTTTTTCTCTAAAATTTGAGATCTAAAATTTAGTAAATTTTATGCAGAATGTTTGGCATTTAATACAATTATTATTATTATTATTATTATTATTATTATTATTATTATTATTGTTGTTGTTTTTGTTGTTGTTTTTGTTGTTGGGCGTACGTTAATTAATTTTGAAAAAGGCTGGCACATTCAATTTTTGACGACTCTCTGTAATCCGGAGATTTCCCCCGAACTTTTGTCCATCAGTGTGCATATATATATATATATATATATATATATATATATATATATATATATATATATATATATATATATTGATAATCTACTTTTGTGGTATATAGATATATGTACATTTTCATATATACCTACTTAAATTTCAAATATACTTCTTATCTCTGTTCTGATAACTTTCAAAATTGAATCAACAAATCCTTTTTCAACGAATATTGATTTCCAGGATTTTATTCTAAATTTTTTATTGCCTCATGTTTGAGCGATGTAATTAATTACTAGCACTGTCTTAGGTTCATCAACAAGACTGTGTTGAAGTTGAAATATATAAAAAATCTCCCTTTTTCACAGACATACTTATCTACTTTATTTTGTATTCGCCACCGTATTAAGGGCATTGTCATCGTAGAAGATAATGTTGAAAAGTAAATATATATCATAATTTTTTTTTCTTCATTCACTGGAATTTTTGTTATATCTATGAATATTTTTCAGTATATATTTTCGCTTACACACCTGTGTGTATTCTTGTATCTGTGAATTTGTTTCTCTGTCTCTGTCATTTGGTGCTCCGTTGGTCTGATCTTGTGCCAGAATCATTTTGAAATAGTAAATATTAATGACTATGCATTTCTGCCCGGAGAACACCTTATAAGATTTCACAACAGCTTCAGCACAGCAAGCTGACGTGTTTGTGTGTCCGTCTCGTCTGTAGTCACCTCCGTAAATAATGCTAAAAAAAAAACAAAAAAAAACAAAGCATTGTCCAGCACTGTAGATAAAGTAATGCTTTACTTATAAAAATTCAGGTTGTTTAAAAAAAAGAAAAAGGTTTTATTATTAATGAATCTTTTTTTTTTTTTAATTTTCATTTTTGTGTGTTCTTATTTTGTTGTTTTGCAGTTAAATTCATCATTTACTTTTGTTATATATTTTAACCTCTTTCTTTTCATTGCTTTGTGACGCTACCGGCAGCAAAAGTGAAAAATATTTGTAAAATCTAAAGAGTTGCAAAGAAATGTAAGCATCATCGTCAACAAGATTTTATCAGTATTTGATTAAAAAGAAAATTATTAAATCATCACAAATAAAATACTTGTGGACGTTCGCAGACATTTTCTTCTCCCAAACCAGGATACATTTTAATTTTTAAAAAAAACCTCGAAAATACAATTTTATTTCTTTCAACATGTGTAATAATTTAAAAATACTCTTGGTTACCGAATACAAGTGATGAAACTATAACATTATTTCCTTAAGTTTTCTAAAAGATAATTTTCTAGCCAAGCTTCAAACGTACTTATTTTGCTAGAGCAGGTTTATTATTTTTTAAAACATTTCCAGATAATATTATTTAAAAAGTAATATTTGTAAAACTTTACTGTATTTTGATGTTCGTAAGAAATATTTTCTTCCTATAAAATTTTTCCAAAAGCCACCGTCCTTTCTATGAATTAAAAGTTAGTGACGTGTGCTATAACTTTGGAGTGAGCAATTCGTGAGGATTTCTGTTTGCAATCAGGTTAGGTTTTAGTCCGATTATTCAATTTAACTTCTTTTCTAATTATTAAATTCCAAATAGTTACCATAAATTTGGTGCTGCTTGTCAGTCTGCGATGGCTTTGTCACGATTGGTCAGGTTTTCAGGCTGAACTATGCTACTCCGTAGGTAAATTTAGGGATAGTGGTGAGGGCTATGAATTATCTTTTTTTCCAGTTTTATTCCTTCAATTTTTTTTTTTTTTGTGGGTGGCGATTGGCTCCAATTAGGGTGTAGCAACATACGATATTTGAACCAACAGGTTTTTTTTTGTCTAGTTTGAAATATTCGTATCAGAATGACTATTCAAACCTGAACATGTATTTGCCAGAAAAGAGTAGTGGGCATGTGCCGGTGGCTTAATGGTTATCAGCGATGAAAATAGAATTAGTGAGACGAGTTCGAATTGAGCCAAGTCCGTTTACATACACTTTCATACGAATGCATACATTCCACTATGGTCTTCTAGAGTTGAAAAAGGCCATTACCAATTTGGCAATTAGAAATAGATAATGTCCGATTAAAAAATATATTAAACACACACACCCAAACATGTATATATATATGACATTAAGGTCATGAAGATTGCGGACGCTCTATCCCTGATATTGAGCACGGTAACTCATAAATATAGTTTGCCAAAACTCTCTCTCTCTCTCCCCATATATATATATATATATATATATATATATATATATATATATATATATATATTATCCCATATATATATAGTTTATATACATTTATTTCCGTATTTTTAAATGCACATTCCTTTCTATTTATTTATTTGCACATTCCTTTCACACACACACACACACACACACATATATATATATATATATATATATATATATATATATATATATATATATATATATATATACATGTATGTATGTATTTCAGCAACTTTATTAAATCGACCAACAAGGACTGACTTTTGAATTTTTTCGACCATCTTTAGGGATTATCAGGAATACTAAATGTATTTCTGTTGTAGAGAATTTTTTTTCTTTTTATATTAGCTTCACCGTAGCATTTTCATTTTAAATATACGGGCATTACTTTAAAACGAAAATATCCAATATACTCGAATTGTTCAAGATATCAAAGGATTTCCCATATAACACTGTAGAAAAAGTCATTTGAAAATATGTTTATTTATTTATTTTATAATTCAATTTGAAAAAAAAATCCCATTGTTGTGACTAATCTTTTAAAAGTTTAAATTGATATACCCCATTATAGGTAGTGGCAAATCGTCAATCATATGAAATGTCTTTATTGCTATATACGAATATTTAAATGAGAAATACAGCATTCCCAAAAGGCCAGGATGAGGCTAATACAATTTTCTCCATGACACAGATAAGATTAACGATCCTGATAATGCCTAGAGATAGTCGAAAATAGGCGAAAGAACATTACGAACATTTAACGGGGTTGCCATAAATATAATCCAGATGTGCGACACCTGATTCAAGTACTGGAAAAATTTAATAAATGCGATAAATAAAAAGCATAGACAGATTTTTGGACACTTTTCATAAAGCATATTAATTTATGTCTGTAGTGGACTACTGTGTATATATATATATATATATATATATATATATATATATATATATATATATATATATATATATATATATATATATGGGGGATTATTTTTATATATCAAGAACAATTATAGTATGTAATTGTGCCTGAAAGATCATATATAACAAAAAATATATCAGTTGAAAGACAATTTGATTAAAGAAAAAAATAAATCGTGGCCGACGCAATTCATCCTCTGATAGACTTTTTTCACATTTGCCTTTATAAAGTCCACCAGACGCCGTGTGGGCTAACACCTTTTGATTATATATATATATATATATATATATATATATATATATATGCGGGTAACACAGTATGCATATATTCACAAACATAAAGGCAAAGACAGACACATATATAATTATATCAATACATAAATATATATATATATATATATATATATATATATATATATATATATATATATATTGATCATATCTCTCAGTTAATTTCTCATTAATTCGTTGCATATCTATCTATTCTATCTAAATCTATCTATCTAATCCACACACAAACACAGCTCACACACACGCTCTCACACACACCTATATATATTACAGTTTCTTTCATATCTAGGTAGCTATCTATTCCACTTTTCTCATATTAACCTGTTTAAACAAATAAATGCAAATATTTTTTTTTCTTCTTCTAAGTTTACCTTCTGTCTTTATATCTATCTATATATATAC